CTTTCAATTTCGTTCGTTATTGTTCTTGACCTATCATCTCAAACACTTTCAATGGAGCATGTACAGAAGAGGCACAAAAACAACCCGCAAACAATCTGAAAATTTAGTAGAGTTTGTGTAGGAAAATAAAGTTTATTTTCAAGGCCATTTTCCAATTATTCTAATAAAGCTAACCTTATAAGACCACCAAAAGCCATATTTTTCTTTTAAATTAAAAACAAATTATAGCTAAAATTCAAAACTACGCTCTGATTAAACACCATTGTTTTATTTATTCCCCGAAGTTAACTTCGAGGGATGCACGTTAAGTTCGAACGCGGCATGTGATTTGATGCTGGTATTCTGAAGCGCTATTTCTTCATATAACGTTCGTCGATAGCGTGCGCCTGTTATAATATAAAAGTTTTACTGATACAACACACCAGTTGGAGCCACATAACGTGTTTGACGGATAACATGCACGTTAAAGTTAACGTCAGTAATACAGCACAGGGCTGAATGTCAACAAGATCTAGAGCCGCTAAAAGTCAATCAGAATTTTTTACTTAAAACTCTTTTTAAAAAGCCAAGGCGTTTGCCAAAAAATGTATATAGAGCACTTAATATATTTGACATAAGTTATAAATATAGCTAATCCACAATTATAGCTACAAAAAATAACTTAAGTAACTTTCAATATGTGAGCCATCATTCAACAAGAAACTTAAACAACTTTGCCCTGCATCTTTCCAAACCATACAAAACTTAGCCTGACAATTCCTGGGGTTCACTAGTTAAAAAAAGCTAAAACTGTTTAATGCGTTACCAACAGATATGAAAGAAAATGAGAAAAACATATATTCAAAATAAAAGAAATATTGGTTGTTGAACAATACTTGAACCTCTTGTTGAGCATTTTGTAAACTCATCTCGACATAGACTCGACTGAAAATTTAAGTAAATTAATGTGGGATGTAAAATGAGGTTGAGTTGAAAACTCTATATTAGCTTACTTGTTCTAATCAATTGTCTCAAATTCGGACACATACGAACATAACGCTCATGTGTCTAATGTTTGTTTGAATAACAAATAACTTAGATATGTGTTCAATAGCTGCTAAATTTCAAGGCAAATGAGGCTAGTTTCTTATATAAAATGACATTATCTAACATTATACACCAACCAACTAACCTACAAGATTTGCGGCAGCGGATTATTACCGTGTCACACCTTATAGCATAAGAAATATTGAATAAAGTGAGGAATCGATTTTAGGCGAACTTGCAGCACGCATGCAAGTTAATGGCAGCAGTATGAAAATTCAGTAAACAAAACTGTTTTTTAGAATAAATTGGAAAAATGTCTAATCTCTAATGTCAAAATGATAAGTAATGTCGCAAAAAAGTTTTGAAAAAAAGTGGCTTTGAAAATGTCAAAGCCGTCAGCTGATAGTTAGTGGCAAACAGTCAAGCTGTCAGCGAACGTGGCGGGGGATGAAGATAATTTTCAGTTAAAGTTATGCTTTTGCCACAGAAAACAGTGGCGAAAGTACGTACTTTCCACCAGGGGTTCAAGAAAAAGATGTTTCTCCCGGACAACTAAATTGACGATTGTCAGCGATTTTTTTAAATGTTATTAATAAACCTAAACTTGAACCGTTTCATTCTTGGGGCACATCCTATATAAATAAATTCGTCATAACACGCAGGTATTTCAATAAAGGTCTAATAGAACACCCACCATGAATAGGTCTCGATACTCGAAAGCTAATGACCCAAGATGTTCTCGTTCTTACTTACTTCCAAGATATTACACAGACAATGAATCTATCTATATTCTATTAGTGCTGTTAATGTCCATTGTACCGCAACTGGATCTCGCTAAAAGCGAACATGTAATAAAATCCATATAATTTCGTCAAATTAAATTTCGATGTTACCAATTCAAACGTTTAATGAAACGTAAGTTTAACTTGGGGTAAATAGATTGTAAAAGCCATCGATTGAAAACAAGTAATTTTCATTTATTTGCTGCGCATCAAATTTGAGTTGAATTCGGAATACTAGTATAAATACCTGCAGATCCAGTTGTAACATCACAGCTGTCTACAGAATAGTTCAAGTATACGATTGGAATTGTGTCGACGTGTTCTAACTACTTTGAGTATTATTTTAAAATGGCACTCGTAAGTAACTTTTACTATTTTTTTTGTATTGAGGGGTTGTAATTTATTAAGGGGTAATTTTGTATTTATAAGGGGTTCAATACAACAGGTTACGTATATATTACTAATAATACTTACCAAACTAATATTAGTAATACTTACATGCTTACAGATGTAAGTTGTGGTATATGTATACCACAACAATTATCAATTGTCCGCTAGAGTGAGCTATAATCTATTAAATACCTACTGGAATTTATACCGGCATCAAAAATCACCACTTAGTTTACGTTATTAGGTATAACATTTGGTTTCAATCGAATCAAAATTATAGCAATTTAGGAAATATGTTTTAATTTTATTAGCGGACGTTGGATTAATTTTGCACATTACACTAACAACCAGAGCAAAATAATGATTTTATAATCAGCTAAATAGTTTTTAAACAACTTTCAAGCAATTCTGTAATTTCCTATTGTCAAATTTTAAATAAAGAAACAAAAAATATTTATTTTATTAAAAATTGTTTCATCTTTTCTATATGATAATAATTGTAGCAATTCCACTGGACGACCTTAACTATCAATTTATATTTTCCTGAAAAATACTTGCGAGAACTTGAAATTAAAAACTGCTTCTTGAAGACTTTCTGTCTGTTGCCAGAATTTAGTCGGCAGAAGCGAATTGACCGGATTGGTATATGATCGGATATCACGTGATCTGACTGCAGTGTGCATGAACAACAAGATATCTCAAACTTCGTATGTCAAAAATATTACATTGTGTGGAAGATCAATGGATACGATATACGCAAATACGATTAATCGAGAAAATTAGACGAAAACATTCCAAAAAGGTTTCAATCTATTCCAATCCCAAAAATTCCATCTGAGCATCACCTATACTATAAGTAAAATCTACAAATTTAATGTCACCAAAATTGATTTTTCAATAAAAAATAAGAGCTGACAATTAATCTAATTTTGATTTATCTAGTTTATTTACTATAGTGCCTCTAATTATCATTCATCATATCATATCAAGTCTAAATCTATTTTCTCGTTCAGATCAGTAGCTGGACATCACGCAGGACCCTGTATATAAAAATGTTCTATGCCACTCTGCTGTTAATGTGTCTGGTGGCCGCTAGCACTGTGGAATCGAAAGTAATTGATTGCAGTCCCCTTCCTGAATGTTGCAGGTAATTGTAGGTGCTGATTTCATGCTTTCAATAATTATTTGGCTAGTCGAAACAAATAATATAATCTGTTAACTCCCATGTTCTCACCACTTTGTAGAACCTTTGTATTTTCACCTGGATGTCGAGGAGTCGCCGCCAAACGTAATGGACCTGCATCAATACAAAGAAACTCACACTATCAGCGAGAACCAAGGTAGTTTTATTTGCCGTAAATAGAGAGTGCACTGGAGGGTCAATAAGGGCAAACAGTAATAAAGTTAGAGGTATTTTAACATATACGTCTACACAATTGAGACTAAACATAAGGAATCCATTAATAACGATAGTGCCTGGCGCTAATTGTGCAGCAATTGTACAGCTACATTTCTACATTCAGTTGGCAGTTGATATTTCTGAAGCCCGGATTGAAGGTTATTTTATTAGACATTATTATTATATTGTATATATATTGTATAAATCAAGAATTTTTTGTCAAAATAAGCCTAAATAAAATTACGCGGTTAAACTTTACTTACGGTCATTGGTTCTAAAGAAACAATATTTTTTAATTTTCATAACTTTCCCTGTTTTTACGTAAATTTTTCCAAATTACATATTCAATTTCATCTTTCCTTGTTTTGCCAATGATTGCGGCTTCTAGAATTTCCTACATTATTACAATTAAATGTTAATACTCAACAGCACCTAAAATCTTATGTATAAAATCAACAACATAAAGTTAATTTAATTGTGTAAAGTTAGGCACAGATGTTGGGTTAGATACTTTTAATATTGAAAGTAGTGAACCAGACATTCAGCTGACTCTTATTTACTTAATGAAATAAAGCTAATGCAGTATTAAAATCAGGATTAACCTTATTACTGCATGACAGTATTTATAATTTCCAATAACTCGTTAACAAACTTGTAACATTTCAGTAGATATATTTTAGAAAAAAATTAATATTTTCAGATTCATTTTTGAACTGATAATTATATTGAATATTTAGATATAAATAATTAAACTTATGAACTTTGAGCAAACTTAACAAGTTAGGGTAAATATTTTATCAATTGCCCAAAATTCTATTTCAATTTAGACTGGTTTCCGTGGACCCGGACTATGGAAATGATAACTTGAGCAATTTGGCAGCAATCGTCAAAAGCCTAGCGCTAGCCGTGAGTATTAATAGTACTTATTAATAATTGAGTGAGAACATTTTATATTGAAAAATATGTGAAGAATAAAACAGTTCCCTACAGACAGAGTGATTTAATATTGGCTATATTATAATTGCAAAAAACTAAATCAGAAGGTCAACAACAATACTTTTTAAAGTAATCTGCTTCATTAACATTACCTGCTGCTTTTTAAATATCAAAAGTTTAAGTAAAAATGAAATAGGTCGAAGTAACCGGTAAATTTAACGAATGTCGGGAAGTAAGTCGGCAACCTGCAGATCAGAAAAATATTTTGGTGCTTGGTGGTAAAACGAAATTCACATATCTGAATCTGTTGAATTGAAAATCACTATTTGAAATGTGAACAACTCACAGAAAGTGTTCGAAGTTCTGCCCGTTTAACTCCAATCATGTTTGTGCCTGTATAATCACTTATTGTGCACTTTTCGCAGTATTACTGCCTCAGATTTTGAGCATACTCTCGTATCAAGTTAATTTCCTTTTGCTCAATTTGTACCGGTAATTGGTAGACCAAATATTTAAGTTGTCCTTTGTTCTGTGCATCTTACCTACATGGCAGGAATGTGAGGGCTACATTCGGTAATTATTCAGTGCACAATTTCCTGGGAAAGTTGTAGCGCAATGCTGTACTGGGAGCCTGTGAAAGTATCTGCTGCGGTTTTCTCCAATAGCTGTTCTCCTATTTCTGTAACCAGAACACCTCTTGATCATTCACTGTCCGCTTCAACTCTTAGAGCGAATCGTTCAATACCCTAAAACCCCCTCAAGACCTTTGACTGCAATTATTGACGATAAATCTTACAAAAGAACAATGAACACGACCACAAGTTACCGTCTGCTAACCGTTTGTTTCGCGATCTGATTTAACCACCTGATTAATAAATATATAAAAACAGAGTCAATAGGTACCTATACACTTACGCTCTTATCACTCGGTTCGAGAACGACGCGCCAATCGCGCGTTCAGTAGTTGGCGAAAATTGTGATGATCCAAAAGCATGTCACTAGAATTGCAACGTTCTTGTCTTTTTTTTTTGTTTTTTGTCACTTTAGTTGAGGACCACGCTGTATAAAAGGTGTTGCAATGCGCGAGTTCAAAAGTACAGACGCCTCTTGGTGGTTAAAATTATAACTAAAGCTATCAGAATAAAAAAGTGGGTTTTGCAATACCAGTATTATCGAGTTTAACTACCGATGATGGCGCTGCAAAACGTTAACTTACCCGTTGTCGAGTGACAGTCAAGACTTGTCAGACTTGTTTATTTATTGGAGTGGCAAATTTCTAACATAAAACAATTCCTACTTACTTTTTGATCTGTTTCTATTTCTTTAAAAGCTTGCAGAAATTGATTAGAACAACAAATCACAATCAGATGTAAAAACCAATGTGACAATAATGTGAACAAAACAAGTGTGAAATTACTACTTAACTTGGAGTTATAATTTTAGCCACCAGTTTCTATCAGAACACCGTAGGCTAGAAGATTATTGCTTAAAACCGCACTTTATTTAATTTAGAATGATTTATAATGCATTTTTTTAGAATGAAGACAGCAGCCCCAACCATTTTGAAAAAACATCACTTGAAGCCCAATATGATAAATAATGTTACTGCATATCTAGTGACCGGCTATATCACCTAGTATGGGAACGAAATATTCCATGTTAGACTTATGGAAAATGGAGCATGCCAAAATATAATATTAGGAACATATGAATGTGAAACTGTATTGCACAATCTGTCTTCTTCATTAATAAATATATAAAATGGCTTTTTGATAAATTATTGAAAATATTGAAAATTATTTTTATCAAGCAATCCTGTCCCTCATAGAGATTATCTCAATCTCCACTCATTAATCACAATCTCTCATCACAATTTCACAATATGATTAATCATAGGTAATATTTTACCTATACTTTTACGAAACAAATGCACGGCCAACATCTTTCCAATCCGAGTGACGATAATGAATCAATTAATTTTAACTTGTTGTACTAAGTTGTAACTCTTTTGCAGAAATCTGCCTGTCCGAAACTGGTTGGATTGAGTAGCCCACTGAAAATACAGTCAATCCTAAGCTAGGAAAAAAAGGGGAGGGGTCACAGGTAAAACTAGCGACCTGCCGCGGGTAACAAGAAACACAGTGCTCAAAGAATCAACAATTCAGCCTCGGATACGACTGGAACAAACAATGACGACTCGGCGGAAAAAAGGAATGGACGACATCGGCAACCAAAAACATTAAGAATCGGATGTTGGAACGTCCCTGAACAACAAAGATCAGGAAATTTCGCAGGGGATAGAAAACCACAAAATCGATGTTTGCGCAATTTCTGGTATACAGCGGCAAAGACAAGCACGAATGAACAACGCGTTGCGTAGGGATATTGCTACGTCAATGACAGGATACTACAAATAACAGTCGAACTCAAAGACTGAAAACCCACGCAGATAATAAGTGTTTATGCCTCCGACGCCTTCAAGCCAAGGGAAGAATACAATATCTTATACACAGATCTACAAACAGTGCTGGCCGGCGTTAGACCACAAGACGAAATAATAGTCCTTAGAGATCTAAACGCCACTATCGGAGACGAATGTATGCCAAAATACCAAACTCAAGTTTGGTATTTGGGTTCCTCAAGAGGTCAAGTAGTTCACTCAAGAGGTCAAGGCGCTGGCGAAAGAAAAACGAGGGACTTACCTACAGTACAGATCAAAGCCGATAACGTACAATGAATACTAGCTAATAAGCAACAGAATTAATGACAAAATGCAAACAATGAAAACAACACACTTGGAAAAAAAATCGAAGGATATAGAGCGGAACCTTTGCGGGGGACAGAAAAAGGTCTGAAATATACTCAGAAACAGGAAGAAACCCATAAACGAATTCATACAAACTACGAAGAATTCAATCGAGGACTGGGAGAAACACTTTCGGGAGCTGTAGGTCACAGCCGAAGACAACACCGAGAATACCTTAACACAAATCGGCGATATCATCCACTGATCATGGAACATCACGCGGGAGAGATTAGAACAAGTAAGCAGAAAACTGAAAACCAGAAAGTAGCCCAGGGCAGACAAAATATCCAACTAAATGATACAATGCGGTGGCGATATACTATTTGATCAGATTCAGATCACCCCGCACAGCGTAACAATACCAATATATAAAAAGGGAGCAAAGATCGATCTAGCAAACTACAGAGGAATCGACATCCTCAGTACAATGTCAAAACTCGTTACGAACATCTTCGAGAACGAAGTTGTTGCCTCTGGGATGCTCAGATCAAATTCCAAATGTGAATTATCCCGGTTAACACTGGACAATACATCGAGATCGATATATACAGATCGATATATACAGGGTGATTCAAAATTGGCGTCATTCCTCTGGAGGTGTTGTCTGGCGCTGTGATAGGAGTACAGAAAAAAATAGTAAAATAAATTAATTGTTATTAAAAAC